GATAACATTGAACAGTGTGCACATCGGCTGATAGATGACCATCACTACTGTACATTACAGCTATGTAGGTTGCACCAAATTTTTTTACAAACTGATAGCTGAAAGAAGATGCAATTTTAAGAGACAAACTGTAACGTGAACCTGATGTCTATAGTTTATGTACTTTAAAGCGGAGTATCAAATGCGAGGAGAAATTCTCTAGCGGCGTGTGTGAGAGCGCAGATGATGGAGCGGCTGCGCTCCAAGCCTCATTGTGAAGCCAAGATCCAGTTTCCGAGTTCCGGTTTCCGACTTCTTTGGCACCGCCGCTGAGGGGACAGGTGCAGGAGAGGTCCGCTCTTCTCCGCTGAGAGGAGACACCCTCTCCACTGCCACGGGGGACTCAAGGAGTAAGTGCTGTATACATGTCATATCACTGTAATGGAGTACAGGGGAGATGGGATATATATTACTCAGTAATGTATATCCCACCTCCCCTGTACTCCAATATAGTGATATGACATGTACACAGTAATGTATATCCCCCCTCCCTGTACTCCATTGTAGTGATATGACATGTATACAGTAATGTATATCCCCCCAGCTCCCCTGTACTCCATTATAGTGATATGACATGTATACAGTAATGTATATCCCCCCTCCCCTGTACTCCATTATAGTGATATGACGTGTATACAGTAATGTATATCCCCCTCCCCTGTACTACATTATAGTGATATGACGTGTATACAGTAATGTATATCCCCCTCCCCTGTACTCCATTATAGTGATATGACATGTATACAGTAATGTATATCCCAGCTCCCCTGTACTCCATTATAGTGATATGACGTGTATACAGTAATGTATATCCCCCCCCCTGTACTACATTATAGTGATATGACGTGTATACAGTAATGTATATCCCCCTCCCCTGTACTCCATTATAGTGATATGACGTGTATACAGTAATGTATATCCCCTCCCCTGTACTCCATTATAGTGATATGACGTGTATGCAGTAATGTATATCCCCCCTCCCCTGTACTACATTATAGTGATATGACGTGTATACAGTAATGTATATCCCCCCTCCCCTGTACTCCATTATAGTGATATGACATGTATACAGTAATGTATATCCCCCCTCCCCTGTACTCCATTATAGTGATATGACGTGTATGCAGTAATGTATATCCCCCTCCCCTGTACTACATTATAGTGATATGACGTGTATACAGTAATGTATATCCCCCCGCCCCTGTACTCCATTATAGTGATATGACATGTATACAGTAATGTATATCCCCCCTCCCCTGTACTCCATTATAGTGATAGGACATGTATACAGTAATGTATATCCCCCCCCCCTGTACTCCATTATAGTGATATGACATGTATACAGTAATGTATATCCCCCCTCCCCTGTACTACATTATAGTGATATGACATGTATACAGTAATGTATATCCCCCCTCCCCTGTACTCCATTATAGTGATATGACATGTATACAGCAATGTATATCCCCCTCCCCTGTAGTCCATTAAAGTGATATGACATGTATACAGTAATGTATATCCCCCTCCCCTGTACTCCATTATAGTGATATGACATGTATACAGTAATGTATATCCCCCTCCCTGTACTCCATTATAGTGATATGACATGTATACAGTAATGTATATCCCCCCTCCCCTGTACTCCATTATAGTGATATGACATGTATACAGTAATGTATATCCCCCCTCCCCTGTACTCCATTATAGTGATATGACATGTATACAGTAATGTATATCCCCCCCTCCCTGTACTCCATTATAGTGATATGACATGTATACAGTAATGTATATCCCCCCTCCCCTGTACTCCATTATAGTGATATGACATGTATACAGTAATGTATATCCCCCTCCCCTGTACTCCATTATAGTGATATGACATGTATACAGTAATGTATATCCCCCCTCCCCTGTACTCCTTTATAGTGATATGACATGTATACAGTAATGTATATCCCCCTCCCCTGTACTCCATTATAGTGATATGACATGTATACAGTATGTATATCCCCCCTCCCCTGTACTCCATTATAGTGATATGACATGTATACAGTATGTATATCCCCCCTCCCCTGTACTCCATTATAGTGATATGACATGTATACAGTATGTATATCCCCCCTCCCCTGTACTCCATTATAGTGATATGACGTGTATACAGTATGTATATCCAGCTTCCCTGTACTCCATTATAGTGATATGACATGTATACAGTAATGTATATCCCCCTCCCCTGTACTCCATTATAGTGATATGACATGTATACAGTAATGTATATCCCAGCTCCCCTGTACTCCATTATAGTGATATGACATGTATACAGTAATGTATATCCCCCCTCCCCTGTACTCCATTATAGTGATATGACATGTATACAGTAATGTATATCCCCCTCCCCTGTACTCCATTATAGTGATATGACATGTATACAGTAATGTATATCCCCCCTCCCCTGTACTCCATTATAGTGATATGACATGTATACAGTAATGTATATCCCCCTCCCCTGTACTCCATTATAGTGATATGACATGTATACAGTAATGTATATCCCCCCTCCCCTGTACTCCATTATAGTGATATGACATGTATACAGTATGTACATGTATATTCCCCCCTCCCCTGTACTCCATTATATAGTGATATGACATGTATACAGTAATGTATATCCCCCCCCCTGTACTCCATTATAGTGATATGACATGTATACAGTAATGTATATCCCCCTCCCCTGTACTCCATTATAGTGATATGACATGTATACAGTAATGTATAAGTGATATGACATGTATACAGTATGTACAGTGGGGATCGAAAGTTTGGGCACCCCAGCTAAAAATTTGTATTAATGTGCATAAAGAAGCCAAGGAAAGATGGAAAAATCTCCAAAAGGCATCAAATTACAGATTAGACATTCTTAAAATATGTCAACAAAAGTTAGATTTTATTTCCATCATTTACACTTTCAAAATAACAGAAAAACAAAAAAAGTGGCGCCTGCAAAAGTTTGGGCACCCTGCAGAGTTAATATCTTGTACTGCCCCCTTTGGCAAGTATCACAGCTTGTAAACGCTTTTTGCAGCCAGCCAAGAGTCTTTCAATTCTTGTTTGAGGTATCTTTGCCCATTCTTCCTTACAAAAGTCTTCCAGTTCGAGATTTCTGGGCTCTCTGTCACGCACTGCTCTTTTAAGGTCTATCCATAGATTTTCAATTATGTTGAGGTCAGGAGATTGTGAAGGCCATGGCAAAACCTTCAGTTTACGCCTCTTGATGTAATCCTCCGTGGATTTCAAGGTGTGTTTAGGATCATTATTCATTTGTAGAAGCCATCCTCTCTTTAACTTCAGCTTTTTCACAGATGGCATCAAGTTACCATCCAAAATTTGCTGAAATTTTATTGAATCCATTTTTCCTTCTACTCATGAGATGTTCCCTGTGCCACTGGCTGCAACACAACCCCAAAGCATGATTGATCCAACCCCATGCTTAACAGTTGGACAGAGGTTCTTTTCATTCAATTCTGTGCCCCTTCTTCTCCAAACGTACCTTTGCTCATTCCGGCCAAAAAGTTCAATTTTAACCTCATCGGTCCACAGAACTTGTTTCCAAAATGCATCAGGCTTGTCTATATGTTCATTTGCAAAGTTCAAACGATGATTTTTGTGGTGAGGACGTAGAACAGGTTTTCTTCTGATGACTCTTCCATGAAGACCATATTTGTACAAGTATCTCTTTATAGTGGAATAGTGTACCACAACTCCAGTGTCTGCCAGATCTTTCTGGAGGGATCGTGCAGTCAAACGTGGGTTTTGAATTGTTTTTCTCACAATCCTGCGAGATGTTCTGTCTGATATTTTTCTTGGTCTTCCAGATCTTGCTTTAACTTCCACTGTTCCTGATGACTGCCATTTCTTAATTACATTCCGAACAGAGGATATTGACATCTGAAAACGCTTTGCTATCTTCTTATAGCCTTCTCCAGCTTTGTGAGCGTCAACTATTTTCAGTTTCAGTTTTCTAGACAACTGCTTAGAAGAACCCATGGTGCTGATTGTTGGGGCAAGGTCAGATGAGTCTGGGCATTTAAAACCTTTGAGATTGACATCACCTGGTCTTCCCAGATGATGATTGAGAACAATCCATGACACTGGCAGGTCTCAGCTTGGCAAAGGGGGCAGTGCATGCTATAAATTCTGTAGGGTGCCCAAACTTTTGCAGACGCCATTTTTTTGTTTTCTGTTACTTTGAAAGTGTAAATGTTGGAAATACAATCTAACTTTTGTTAACATATTATAAGAATGTCTAATCTGTAATTTGATGCCTTTTGGAGGTTTTTCCATCTTTCCTTGGCTTCTTTATGCACATTAATACAAATTTTTAGCTGGGGTGCCCAAACTTTCGATCCCCACTGTATATCCCAGCTCCCCTGTACTCCATTATAGTGATATGACGTGTATACAGTAATGTATATCCCCCTCCCCTGTACTCCATTATAGTGATATGACATGTATACAGTAATGTATATCCCAGCTTCCCTGTACTCCATTTTATAATACTATAAAAAAATAAAAATGTAAAAAACTTTTTTTGAAAAATTATAATTTTTGGTTATAAACTAATGTGGGTTATTTTTTTTCCTAAAAAGAAAACTGAATAAATTTTGGGCAAGATTTATGAAGAAAGATTATTTATTTGCAAAATTTTATAAGAAAAACACTTTTTTTTCATTTATATAGCAAAAAAAAATAAAAATCCCAGTGGTGAATAAATACCACCAAAATAAAGTTGTATCTGTCTCAAAAAAATTCATATGGGTACACTGTTGCATGACCGCGCAATTGTCAATCAAAGTGTGAAAGCGCAGAAATGTGAAAATTGGCTCGGACAGGAAGGGGGTAAAAGTGTCCTAACTTGAAGTGGGTAATGTAAACTTTTTGCTTCTTTGAGTTAATTTGTTTTTTCTATCTTTTGTAAACAATTTAGGAAAACTTCATTGTTTTTCTTTCAAGATGAAATCAATAATTTTTTGATCCCTTGTCGCGGGACCCTTAAATGGTGTAGTGCCTACTTTGCGTATTTGGTGATCCGGCGTTGCAGTTGGGCTTCAATTACACTGGTGCACAGACCCATATCTGCATGCGGAGCAGGGGTGGACTGACCATTTGGAAACTCGGGCACTGCCTGAGGGCCTGGGGTCAGTAGGGGGCCCCATGAGATGCCCCTGGTACCTTTTCCATAGGCTTTTTTGAGTTTCGGCAAGGACACAGGGGCCCCATGATCCCCTATTGCCCGGGGGCCCCATGAGTTGTCAGTCCTCCCCTGATGGGGAGCGTTGTGTTTATGTTCCCGTGAAAATGAGGCCTTGGTTTGCTAAAACACTGTGGGGTTTATTTACTAAAACTGGAGAGTGCAAAATCTGGTGCAGCTCTGCATAGAAACCAATCAGCTTCCAGGTTTTATTGTCAAAGCTTAATTGAACAAGCTGAAGTTAGAAGCTGATTGGCTACCATGCACAGCTGCACCGGATTCTGAGTTCTCCAGTCTTAGTAAATATCCCCTTGTTTAACATAAACTTTAAAAAATATTATTTCAACTTTTTAAAATGTATTTTACCTTTATTTTAAATGTATTTATACCTCAGTGCTAAATTGCTATCTACATGCACCTGCTCCAACAAAACTCTATAATCCAAGAAATGCCACCCCTTTAAATGAACCATTCCATATTTTCATGACTGTACGTCTTTTTTACTAATTCACAAACATTTCTAAATAAATAGTCCATTGATACCAGTGTACTGACATAATATAATTTGCTGTTTTCAGCACGGCACAAAACTGCCAACCTTTTGCAGAAAAGATCAGGATTATGCTCGCTAATTGGAAAATGAAAACCATTTCAAATATGATTTCATAACAGAATGCCGTCGAATATCACAGCACAATATATGGAATGTTTTGCCTTTACGGAAATAAAGATACAAAATGGCTTCTCGGCACAACAGTGATTAAACCAAACTCTCTTTTGTCTCCAATCAGCGAGCTGTCGCTTCATCCATGAACAGATGTTGGCTGCCTGTATTTCGTATGGAATCTTTTCAAATCACATTTCCAACAAATTCAGAAGTGAAAAAAAAAAACTCAATGTGAGACAACACGGCTCTTTTATTGTGAGGTAAATGAGGTCAGTTTTATCTGTTTTCGGGTAATTGAACACCATTTGACAAAATTTCTGTCGTGGAAGGTACAATGTGTTAGACAGATACTACGGCGTATTTTCAGTGTGTATGCTTTATGTTATAATCTGGACATTTTCTTAGAATGTGTACAGGTTTTATGTTATTCTTATAACATGTGCGTGAAAGTAATATTTGGTAACATACATATTTGCATGCTTGTGCCATATTTTTATCATTTTAATTTATATGCAGATTATATAATCCCTCCCTCTAGTGGTCAGATAATGTTTTGTGTTTCAAGAATGGACTTGATTGAGATTTTTTTTTATTATAATAGAAGAAAACAGCCTATAATCTATCGATATCTATTACCTGTTGTGTTCATTCAGGCAAAATTTCCAGGAACAGATGTGACGAAACACGTAGGGGTAGAAATTTCTGCTTCATGGGCCACTTCCGCACTGTGGAATGCATGTCGGATCCCATGCTGGTAGGAGCGATGGTGATCTATACTGAGTATTGTCAGATGATTTCGGGGTGCCAGGTTGGGGACTGAGTATTGTGAGTGTGACCTTTTTTCTGTTTTTAGCATGGTTTTAATAAATAGTATAAGGATTTTTTTTCTGTTTAATTTCTCTCCTCCATGGGCATGAGATATTGAATATATACTAACTAAGATATTGCCACACATAGGGGGGCTGTGAAAGGAATTTTTTTGACCTACCTTAGTATAAGCTTGGGTGGTCAACATTTTCCAGTGAGTTTGCTAGAAGGGCTTCTCCATAATTTACCACCAAAGAACAACCCAAAATAAATTCTCCTGCTCCTGACGAGTGCAACAGTACCACATATGTGAATGTTAGTTGTAGTTTTGTACCAGTAGTAGGTCCCAGGAACAATGCTGTGCATTTTGCCTTCTTGTTTATCTTGCCTAAAAACATTGAAACTGATACCAGTGTAACCACTTGCCTACCAGGCACTTTTGCCCCCTTCCTGCCTAGGCCGATTTTGCGCTTTCAGTAATGTTGCGCTTTGAATGACAATTGTGCAGTCATGCAACACTGTACCCATATGTAATTTTTATAATTTTTTTCACACAAATAGAGCTTTCCTTTGGTGGTATTTAACCACTTTACAACTGCGCTATAGCCTAATGATGGCTACAGTGTGGTTGTCCAGTTCTGGGAGGGTGTCATATGACGTCCTCCCAGATTGCGCCCCCTGTGTTCCCCCAGCGGCATGCACCCGGCGCTGTCAGTGATCACAGCACTGGCTGCATCAGTGATCACTGTGTCCTACAGACACAGCTGATCACATGACTAGGTAAAAGGCCAATCACAGCATCCTTTTGCCACATGATCAGCTGTGTCCAATGTCACAGCATGAGGAAAGTACTGCTGATAACTGGCAAATGTCACAGAGGACATCCGCACTGATAATCAGGGCACTGGTCAGTGCCACCCACCAGTGCCACCCATCAGTGCTGCCCAGCAGTGCCACCCATCAGTGCTGCCCAGCAGTGGCCCTAAGCAGTTGCACCTATCAGTGCCACCAGTCAGTGCCATCAGTCAGTGCCGCCAGTCAGTGCCACCCGTCAATGCCCATCAGTGCCGCCTATCAGTTCCCATCAGTGCTTCACATCAGTGCAGCATCATCAATGCCTCCTCATCAATGCCCACCAGTGCCGCCTCATCCGTGCCAACTCATCAGTGCAGCCTATCAGTACCCATCAGTGCTGCCTATCCATGCCACCTCATCCATGTCTATCAGTGCAGCCTCATCAATGCACATCAGTAAAGGAGAAAAATTACCTGTTTGCAAAATTGTATAACAAAGAAAAACTCCACTGGCGATTAAATACCACCACAAGAAAGCTCTATTTGTGTGAAAATAAATTATAAAAATTTCATATGGGTACATTGTTGCATGATTGTGCAATTGTCATTCAAAGTGCAAAAGCACTGAAAGCTGAGAATTGGCCTGGGTATGAAGGGGGAAATAGTGCCTTGTAGGTAAGTGGTTAATCACCGCTGGGTGTTTTATTCTTTGCTAAACAAACGGAAAAAAACAAACAAGCATTTTTATTAGTTTCTATTATAAAATTTTGCAACTAGGTAATTTTTCTTTCTCATTGATGTGCATTGATGAGGCTGAACTGATGGGCACTGATGAGGCAGTACTGATGGGCACTGATAGGCTACACTGATGAGGCGGCACTGGTGGGCATTGATGAGGAGGCACTGATAAGGCTGCACTGATATGTGGCACTGATAGCTGGCACTGGCTGGCAGCACTGATAGGTGGCACTGACTGGAGACACTGATTGGCGACACTGACTGGCAGCACTCATGGGTACAGATTGGCAGCACTGATGGGAACTAATCGGCACTTTTGGGGATGCACTATGACAGCATGAGGAAAGTGCTGGAAATGGTGATCCGGAAATGGTGATCAGCTGTGATTGGACACAGCTAATCATGTGGTAAAAGGCTGCTGTAGTTGGCCCTTTACCATGTCATGTGATCACCAAAGGACACAGAGCTCACCGAGAGTGCCAGGTGCACGCCACAGGGGGTACTTCATATGACGCCCTCCCGGAACTGGTCGACTGTACAGTAGCCGTCATTCAACTATAGCACAGTCAAGCAGTGGTTAAAAAAATGTTTTTTTTAATCTACCCAAAATATACTGACCATGATCTTTGACCCCAACCTTGACCTTTGACCCTTGCATTAACTCTAACACTAACCTTGGCAAACATTGATCTAGTTATTGTTTTCTTTTTTTTTTTTACACACTTTTGTTTGTTATATCTTCCTTTCCTGCAAGAAGAGAAAGATTCAATGTATCCTTCTCTTCATTCTGAAGAGGAAGCAAACACGTGGGTGGTAGGGTTGCCACCTTATCCATTTAAAACTGAACACATATTAATTACATAGGTTCTGAGGCTGATAAAAGTGGTAATTAAACTCAGTTGGTGCCTTATCTGCAATAAATTAGCCTCAGAACCCATGTAAATATGTGTTCGGTTTTAAAGGGATGAGGTGGCAACCCTAATGAGCAGGCTGCACAGTGATTGATCACTGTCATAGCCAATCAGAGGCTATCACAGTGATTAGGTGGCCCGGAACCGAGATTTCCAGATCCTAATCATTAGTACAGCATGCTCCCAGCACAAAGAGAGATATATGCGCCCTCCACGGATAAAGATCCACATCCGTGAGGCCACATATATGCCCTGCTACTTACCCACAGCAGAGCTAAATGTACAAAAAAAACACCTGCCTTGTGCCTGCCCTAGAACAGTGGTCTACAAACGGCAGCCCAGGGGCAAGATGTGGTTCTTTGCTTGCTTTTATCCGACCCTCGAGGCATTATTCCTCCCACTGCAAGCAACAGTGTAGCATAGTTTCTCACCAACAATGGGACACTATTCCTCCTATTGACAACAACAAAGATGGGACACTATTCCCCCATTGATAGCAACGATGGGGCAGTATTCCTTTCATTGATACTAAGGATGGTGCACAATTTCTCTCATTGATACTAATTATTGGGCACTATTCTTCCCAGTGATACTAACAACGAGGCACTGTTTCTCCCATTGATACTAATTATGGAGCACTTTTCCTCCAATTGCTACTAATGATGGGGCACTATTCCTTCCATTGAAGCCAGTGATTGGGCACTAGTCCCCCATTGATACTAATGATGGGCACTATTTCTCCCATTTATACCAACGATGGGACACTATTCCTTTAATTGATACTAATGATGGGGCAATATTCCTCCCGTTGATACTAATGATGGGGCACTATTTCTCCCACGTTGATACCAATGATGGGGCACTATTTCTCCCACTGATACCAATGATGGGGCACTATTTCTCTGATTGATACTAACGATGAGGCACTATTCCTCCCCCTAATACCAATGATGGGGCATTGTTTACTCCCACTGATGCCAAGACATTTTCTTCTCCCACTGGTCACAGTCCAGCCCCCCTAAAGTTTGAAGGAGAGTAAAATGGCCCTTTGTTTAGAAAGTTTGGAGACCTCTGCCCTAGAACTGCATTTCCCAGGCGTTGGGCGATATGACTTACACATACCTGGGCTGTGAAGGACTT